CAGTGGCATTTTGTATGATGTCTCTGTATCCCCTGCAGGGCCTATGTATGCTCAACAAACGCTTGTCGAATGAATGGATGGATGGATGGATGGATGGATGGATGGATGGATTGCATGCAGTTTTTATGGGGGAAAGGTACCAAGTAGTAGCTTAAGTGGGGATGGGTTTTAAGTCCACCAAATCCCCATTCTTTGATAAGAAAAAAAATTAGGCAAATAGAACTTTGAGGCAAGTTCCCAGTCCCCCTCCTGACCAGACTGGAAATTCTGAACCCCCACTGGTCGTCATGGAGACCATCTCTCTTCCGGTGAATGAATGAACGAACGAACTTTACCTCATCTCTAGTGAAAACCAGGCACTGTGTTAAGTGTTTTTACAAACAGTTTCACGTGCCCCCAAACTGGCCCTGTCACAGAATTAAGCACACATCAGCCGAAGGAGGACCCACTGCTGCCTCAGCTTTCACAGGAACAAAACACACCGTCTCAGGACAGAAAAGGTGGGGAGCTGGGAACAAGAGGAGGGGGTGTGGCCTGGAGGAGAGAGCCCAGGGGGCCACATGTTGAAGATTTTTTTAAAAAGAGACAAACTTCTGATTATATGCAGATAGTGTGATTATTAACACATAAAATGTGAGATCATCCACCAACAAACTTTTAGAACCATTAGGAATGTTCGCAAGGTTGCTCAAAACCAGATGAACATGCAAAGCAATCAATAGCCCTTTCCATCAGCAATAATCGATTTGATTAGAAAATGTCATAGGAAAAAAGATCCTATTCCCCACAGCAACAAAAACTAATAAATCTAATTAAAGACACACAAATCTTTATTGTAGGACAAAAAAAGGACAGAAGAAATGCAGAGACAGACTATGTTTATAAATGGGAAGATGTCATTTCAATCAAAATCCCAACAGAGCTTTTCACATGGGGAAGAAAGGGGTCGAGAGCAACAGAGGTAATGTTTGAAGAAGAAATTGGACGAGAAGGAGAAGGGTTGCCACCTTTGATGCACCCCTTACTATAAGGCTATGGTGATTAAGACGATGTGATTTGATGCGGAAATAGACACATTCCCCCACGGAAGCGAAGAGAGACTCCAGGCACAGAGTCTTCAGAATCCAGGAACTCGAATAAGTCAGAGGCAGTGTTTCAAGCAAGGGTGGAAAGGGCTGCCTACAAATGGCGTGGGATAATTGGTTATCACATAGCAAGCAACTGAAAACTTAGATTTCTATCTCAAACCAGCCACAAAACAAATTCCAGATGGATTAACCTAAATATGAAAGAGCAACACTTTAAAACTTTGGAAAGAAAATAGAGAAGAAATCATTGTAACAAAGTAAAGACGTTGAAAAACGCAAATTGTAAGAGGAAAAGATTGATACATTTGACTGCACTAAAATTGAAATTTTCTGAACGACAAAAGACGTCATAAAATAAAAAGGCAAGCCATGGAGTGGAATAAGATATCAGCAATGTCTATACGGAACAAATGGTGAGTATGCAGACTATACAAAGAACGTCTACAAGTTAAAGAGAAAAAGATAAGGGTAAAAAAACAAGAAAAGGTCATGAGCAGGCAGGCAAGAAGGGGAAACAATAAGTGGTCAATAAATACTTAGAGATGCTTAACGTCACTGGTAATCAGGATACGCCGATTAAATAAGCAAAATAAAATGAGGTATAATTTCACACTTATTAGAGTGACTTAAAACTTTGAAGTCTGACAGTACCAAGGTTTGATGACATTGTGAGGGAATTAGAACTCGTGTATGCTGCTAGTGGTTAAACTGGTACAACCTCTTGAGAGTAACTTAGCCGAGTCTGGTAGAGTTAATGTGATGCGTACCCTAGGGAAACATGCCACGCGGGCGTCGGAGACACGAACAGGGATGCTCAGAGCAGTGTTGTTTAGAGCAACAAAAACTTGGCCATGTCCGTCAATAGAATGGCTAAATAAACTATGCTCTAGGCTTAATGGAATATTTACTGAAAGAGGTAAAGAGCATTGAGGAAAGTCAGGAGGCTGAGTCCTGGGTCTTTCGCTTCTAACTGATGATGGGACATTACACAAGTCACTGGTTCCTCTTGGTAGTATGCTCTCCCCGGATATTTTTGTGGCTCACTCCCTCACCTCCCTCAGGTCTGTGTGCAGATTCCACCTGCTCACAGAGGCTTCCTGGACCCCATTATTTCTCCGACCAGCATCCGCACCTCCTGACCCTGCTTTGTCAAGAAGCAGAGTGGTTTCAGCGGTGAGCGTGTAGACTCTGGCCAGACTGGGCTCAGATCCTAGCTGTACCAAGAGCTGTTTGTATGACCTTAGGCAAGTTATTTACGCTTTCTGTGACTCAGTTTCCTCCTCTGTAAAATGGAGATAATAATAGTTTTCACCCCAGAGGGTTGTTGTGAGGATTGAATGAGTTTAATATGCCGAAAACTTAGAACAGTGCCTGATATAAAGGAAGTGCTAGTTAAGAGCAAACTACGTGGCAGTTAAAATGAACGCTGTGGACCGGAGTGACGTGGCTGATCTCACAAACAGGCTGCTGAGGGAGACGAGCAAGGCCCACGTGCACCTCACCCTCCCCTGCACTCCTCTCCGAGTCACGAGCAGCACACAATCCAGTCCTTGGTTACACCCGCAGTCAGGTTCCCCTCTCCTGGTTTTAGTTCCTCTCAACTCCTGTTCGTGCCCGTCACAGCCTGGCTGAGCCAGTTTTTGACGGTATTTATTGAACTGATTGAACTGAATTGATTCTGAAAAGTCCTTGAGTGCCAGAGGATGAAGACAACACTGACTCTCTCAGGTGGTGTATTTTAAGAAGTCGAAATAAAGACAAGAGGAGAGTGGGTGCAGTGGAGCGGGTGAGCGACACAGATGCCCAGACAGGGAGAGGATCCCAGGGATGGGCTGTCTCCGAGGGCAGGAATTCTGTTACTCCAGCCCGAGGGAGTGTGGGTCTCAGCTCAGCCCCTGCCCCAGCGTCCAGTGTGTGACTGAAGCATTAACTGCTACCTTCACAGAGGACTCTGTGCATGAAAAAAGATCTAGAAGGATCCAAGCAGAGTCCTTAGCAGTGGCTACACGAGGGAGAGTGGGTTAGGGGACAAGAGGGGTGAGTGGAGTCTTTAAAAAAAACTCTATATACTTTTGCATTATTTGAACTTTGTACAGTGAGAAAGAATCTATTGCTTGTGAAATATTAGAAAAAAATTACCTTGCACACAGAGGTACTCAGTGAAAGGGGATTACTGTTATTCTTCAAAACAAGGACAAAGACAAAGACTTCCCATCCAGCACAGAGGTCCCCAGGCAGGAAGGCGCCCTGCTTGCCCCTCTTCCCCACACGCTGCAGCTGGCCCGTCAGCAAGTCTCTTTGGCTCTGCCTTCGAACTATATCCTGAATCCAACTGCTTCTCCTGGCTCAGCACCTGCCACGCTCATCCCTCGCGCAGACGTTCAACACTCTCCCACTTGTCCCCTTGTTTCTGCGCTTGCCCCCTCCAACTCACGCTGCCCAGCAGTCGCGGTTCCTTAAAAACCCAAACCAGGCAGTGGACACGTTCCAAGCACCGGCCACGCGCCAGGCACTGTGATAAGCAGTTCACTCACCAGCTCTGCTGATCCTTTAGCAACCTGGGAACTAGGTAGTAGTAGAAGCTTCACTTTACAGATGCAGAAACTGAGGCACAGAGTGTTCAATAATTTGCCCCAGGTCCACACTGTGAAATGGTAGAGCTGGGCTCCGGTCCAGCTGGGGCGCATGCCCCTGGCCGCCTCCCCGCACTGTCTCCCTCACAGCGTGTCCACGCTCCGCATCTCCCTGGGGTGAAATCGGTGCTGGCTACTCCAGCGGTAAGGCCCCGTGTGATGTGGGTCCTGCCTGCCTCTCCTGCCTTATCCCCCACCTTCCTCCTCCTCACCCAGCACTCCCCAGCCCCACTGGCTCCCTGGCTGCTCCTCCATCTGCAACATTCTTTCCCTGATCTTCAAATGGCTTGTTCTCACATCACTTAGGTCTCTACTTGAATGTCATCTCCCCCAGAAGGGCTTCCCTGACCACCCTTTCCAGAAGACTGTCCACTTTGTTCTCTGACCCTTTCCTTTATTTATTCATAGATCTTGTCATCTCTGACGTGACATTGTAAGGTTACTCGTTTGAATGTTAATTATCTGTCTCCTCTCTCTAGGATTTCCGCTCCATGAGGGCAGAGATTTTTTCCCAGGGCCTGGAACAGAGCTGGCACAGAACAGTAGCACCGTAAATGAATAAATACACCCAAGGCAGGCTGTGTGGATGTTGGGCTGATCGAGTACCAGGTCTAGGCCTGCTGTGTGGGGCTGCTAGGAATGTGTCCTCTCCCTCTGGATGGGATGGTGCTTCTGCCCCCTGGGTCAGCGGTGTGGCCCCACCCTTCTCTCTGGGGCTCCTGCACAAGAAGGGCAGAATGTGAAGGAAGATCTTCCATGTCCCTTCCCAGTGTCTCCCACTCTGTCCTTCTGTCCATCCCTCCAGCCCCAGGGCTTTCCAGCCACCTGGAAGCTGCTCTGACAAATCTGTTCCCACCAAGGTGATAAAGATGTGAAGTGTTGCCCTTCCCAAGGATATTGCATTTTAAACAAGGCCGGGCAGGAGCAATACTTCACCCCAGTGGATGACTGTGTCATGGGGTAACTTGCCAGACCAGGATGTCGGAGGGAGATGCTGCCTTTCCCACTCACAGGCCCTGGGAGATAAGACATCGCAGGCAAGAGTGTGGATGGAGAGGGAGAGTTGGGTCCAAGCTCACCCAGTGGGTCAGAGAGTGGGACCTGGCAGACCCCAATCTCAAATGTCACAGCTGTCCCCAACCCACTCAACCCACCTCTTCCTTTGCTGCTACCCAGAAGGCCTAGCTTTGTTCCCAAAATCATGCCTAAGCGATCTTCAGGCTCCGCTTTGGGGAATCCCTCCAGAAGCTCCCCAGGGAACCCAGAACAAAGACCTTACCCATTTCAATCCCGCAGATGGCCAGGGCCGCAATCACAGCACCTGCTGATGTCCCAGCAAAGCGATGCGCTGTTTCTAGCATCCGGGGGGCCAGGTCCCGAAGGGCGTCCACGGCCCCGGCCTGGTAGAAGGAGAGGAATCCACTGCCCGAGAAGGAAATGGAATGAGGGGTGTCTGGGTCCCCCTTGAACACCTGTTCTTCCATCTCTTCAGCCTGAGGCCTCCGTGCTTGCCTGCCCGAGCTTGGCCGCCCTCCTGTTGGAACTTGCTGCCGAGCTTCCCTGACAGCCTGGAGCCTGGAATGTGGCTGTCTCTCCCCGGTCAGCTGGGACACCCACGGGTGGCTCAGGCAGCTGATTCCTGGACTTGAGCTCCGCCAGGAGGCAGCCCCAAAAGCCCAGGACAAGGTGCAGAAGGTCCCCCAGATGTGTGCGCAGTGTCCTGGTCCTTTGAGCGCCCCCCTGGTTTCATTGCGTGGCTGGATTCATCTCTGGCCCAGACAGCCCTCTGCCCATGCTGGGTACACCTCGGAGCTGCCGTGCAGGGCCAGCCCAAAGAGGTGGAGCTCCTCAGCCCGAAGCCCGAAGCCTTCACACATGGGGTTGCAAAACCTCTCCGATGGTTATCAGAGGGCACCTCCCTCCCTGGCACGCTGTGGTAGTAAGGGAATTAAATGCTGGCCTCCCTCCAGGAGGACCATGTTCTTTCCACGCAGGGGCAGGAATTGGCTCTTGTTTCTAAGGGGGACACACTCACATCCCCCCTTCCCCCCCACAGCGACACCCATCCCTCGGCTCCTTCTCCAGGTCCTGTGTGGTATGTGTGATGTGTTAGACAATTATTGTTATTTGTTCTTCTTACGTAAATACCCCTCTGCTTATTCACTTCCCTGTTTATTCAGATGTCAGGACTGGGCACCAGCAAAATTGTCAAGGAAGAGAAGTTTGGCTTCAGGGGCCCCGCCCACCACCGCCTCTCCATCTCTCACCGTCTTTTCTCCCCGGCGCTTCATTGACCCGTTGACCCTTAGGCAGCACCCTCTCACCAAACCCCAAATCTTCATGCTGTGTCCTAAGGGTCTCAGAAGAAATCAATCTGAAGTCTAGATCATTCTAAGTGTTTGGGGCTTCATATCGTACACTGCTCACCCCACTTTGAAATGTGAAGTGTCAGATGGTGATATTTAACCCCAAGGATGAACAGACTGGGAAGCCAGATATGAGAGTACCGGGGTCAGGGCAGAGATGTTTTGGAGCCCAGAGGGTAAGGGAGGGGGCGTGGGGACCGGGGTTAGCTCCAGGGGACGCTGGTCATGCCCCCTCTGGAGCTGTGCCATGTGGCCCTGGCAAGGAGGGTCTTCCTGACAGCCCACAAATTTCAAAGCCTGAAGATGTCACAAAGTAGCCAAGTGGCAAGACCACATCTCTCTCCTCCCCGCCCCCCCAGACCTTACAGAGGCAGGACCAGAATTAGAATCTGGACACTAGGTTCCCTGCACAATGCCCAGTCCAGCTCCACGCTCTGTTAGGATGTGACATCAGTGCTTAACCCATCCCAGGGAGCTCCCACCCACTCTGCTGGCCTCACTGGTCCGTGTTAGAATTCCACAATGAGGGCAACGCCCAGTATTTGGCTAGGAGGGAGATTTCTGTCTTCGGCAGGTGGCTCCAGGCATGTAAGTGCCTCCTTTGGGGAAGGGAGCTTTTGATTATATGTGTGAGCAACAGAGAAAATGTGTATGTGTGTGTGTGTGCGCGTGTGCGCGCACAGAGAGATACGAAGTGACCAGCTGCTGGACTGAAGGGTGGGGTGTGACAGGCTGGAGTCCGATCAGCGTTTGGAACATGGAGACCCTGCCTCCTTCCTGGCAAGTCAGGTCAGCTCCACTGAGTATTTGCATGCCCAGCTCTGTGTCGGGAGCCCTGGGAGGTGGGAGCGAGCGGAAGCACCATCCCCTAACGCAGATGCTTCCACTTCTTGGGAACAAAACAGATAAAGGTGAAATAGCCAGAGGACCACACAAGGCAGTCCATAATTAAGTACCAAGTTGTGCAGGACTAAGATTCTTGCCAGAATAGTTAAGAGACAAGAGCGAGCAGAGCAGGCTGGAGCCGTCAGAGAGGCTGTGCGGTGGAGCTGTGGGTTGGGGGATTTGGAGAAGCTGGAAGGAGGAGGGAGGGCATTGTGGCAAAACATAGCACGAGCTCATTACAGGGGAGGGAGTGGCTGTGATCACTGGCACTTACACAGGATGACGGGCTTTGGATCAGACAAATGTGGGTTGAATCCCAGTTTTGCTACTCGCAGGCAACGTGACATGTGTAACTTCTCTGAGCCTCAGTTTTCCTCATCTGTAAAAGGGACTGACTATGCAGCCCAGGCTGCACAGTAGCTGTAAAGGCTACAGATATGACTGTGAAATGCCCAGCACGTGGTTTGTCTATTGTTATCAAAGGGTAGTAAGAACCAAAGCTTGAACCTGGGTGATAAGGTGGAATAGAAAGATGGGGTCGGAGGAGGAAGGTGTGATCCTTTTGTGACATGCAGGAGGAGCTGGGAGGGTTCCCAGGCAGGAGAGTCCTGGTGGGCCAACGAGATGAGGCTGGAAGACAAGGAAGAGGATAGTGCTGCATCCTCCTAAGATGCTGGCGGCCAGGCCAGGGCGGCGGCTGAAGGAAGACAAGTTAATGGAGCAGTTGCCACAGAGCCTCTCAGGACCCGGGGACTGGTTGGATGGGCGGCATGAGTCACGGCTGGTGCCTCGCTTTTAGCCTGGGTGCTGGGAGGGGTAGGGCTGCCTTTGGTAGACTCGGGGAAACTGGGACAGAGCTGGGGAAACTGGGTGGAGGATGAGTTTACTTTAAGATGTGTCTGAGATGACAGCTAGACATTGGAGCTGGGGGTGGAGGCGGGGGGGGGGACAGGGAAGTCTCCAGAGAGGGGGACAGAGACGCCTGCCGTTGAGGCAGCAGAGGAGGGTAAGCAGTTGGAGATGGGTGCACAGTCGTGTTGAAGGAAGACAATCCTGGACAAGTATTCTCCTTCGGGGTCATCCTGCTTTTCCCAGTGAAATAGGAAGCAAGGTCACTGCTGGGGGGCGCCAGAAGGCAGGGGGCCCACTATCCTTTCAAAGACAGTGCCTCATCCTGACTTTGCCCCCGGCATCCTGGCTCCTGAGGCCTGGCTGTCCGATTAGGCTGGCATCTTCATTGAGTGAACATGCTCTTTGGTTCCATGGGGATGGTGGAGACCACCGCAGGTGCAGCACAGCTGCTATGCAAACTGGCAAACTAGAAACTCAAGCCTGCGCACAGGAAGGCCCCATCGGAGCGGTGAACATCTTCACCAAGTGCTGACTCTGGCCAAGTGACAAGGGCTCGTGGGCCGCAGGGCTCGCTGGTCCTGTGCCTTGATGTGAAATGATTGAAAAAGTTCATCTCATCTCCCCTAGTTCCTGACACTATACTTAAAGCCCGAAGAACTTCAAGGGGACGACATCAAGAAAGGATCCGTCATGACACTTCTACATTTGATCTTTAACATCAGCTCATAATCCTCCCAGGTGTTTTAAACTAACTCATATGACTCATCAGCCCCTGAGCAAATTGTACACAAGAAACTGAGACTGCTTATCACACACAAGTCCAACAAGACAACCCAAAGTAAATTTATAGGAGGCCTGGAGTTTCCATAAATTACGTGAAGCCACTCAGGACACAGCTCTCGGGGAGAAAGACGGCGTCTAGATGCCAGGTTGGCCTTCCATGGTGGTGCACCACCTTCTGCTTAAATCCTGCAAAATATTTATTTAGTGAAGAACCTGGTTGTTTCTTGATGTGAGAGAGTATGAAGGTCACGGCATCGCCCGTGAATAATCTTGCCAATAACGTTTAACCTGAATCTAACTGAGGCCTAACTTCCAGTTGACAGTGAGCACAGAGTCTGAAGTTAAATGATGCTGGGTGAAAACAGCCAGACAAATTCAAAGTGCGGGAAGGGCTGGTGGTTGCTGCTGTTGCTACACATGAGCCATTCCCAGTGCACTTGCTCCTCTCCCACATTCCTTTAAAGCAGCTGAAAGGCCAGATACTTGATTTCCCAGCCTCCCTTGCAGCTAGAGGCCATCATGAGACCCAGTTTGGGCCAATGAGAAGTAAGGGGAAATCTGCTGGGTAGCTTCTAAGAAAGACTTTCCTCTTGATAAAAGGAGAAAGGGACATAAGGAGAGTCCCTTTCACTCCATGCCCCTTTCTTCCTGCCTGAGGTGCTGTCCTGTGAGGCCATGGTGTTTGCAGCTATGGCAGCCATCTTGCATCCATCAAGAGAAACACGGCAATCACACTGAGTGGATTAGTTATCTGCTGCTGTGTCACAAATTGCCTCAAAACTTAATACCTTAAAATAACAAACATTTATGATCTCACACAGTTTCTGAGCATTAGAAACCAAGAAATGGCTTAGCTGGATGGTCCTGGCTCAGGGTCTCTCTGGAGGTTGTAGTCAAGCTGATAGCCAGGGTTGCTGTCATCTCAAGCGTCATTGGGGTGGAAAAATCCACTTCCAAACACACTCTCATGGTTATTACAGGTACCACTTCTCTGTTTTGTTTTTTCCTGGGAAAGAGTTGCCCTGAGCTAACGTCTGTTGCCAATCTTTCTCTCTCTTTTTTTTCCTCCCCAAAGCCCCAGTGCATGGTTGTGTATCCTAGTTGTAACTGGTTCTAGTTCTTCTATGTGAGCCAGCACCACAGCAAGGATATGGACAGACGAGTGGCGTGGTTCCATGCCCGGGAACCAAACCCAGGCTGTCAAAGCGGCGCATGCTGAAATTTAAGCACTAGGCCATCAGGGCTGGCTCCGTAGGCACCAGTTCTTAAGCGGCTATTGATAGGAAGCTTCAGTGCCTCACCACACAGGCCTCTCCACTGGGCTGCTCACAAGGTGACAGCTTGTTTTTCCCAGAGTGAGACATGCAAGGGAGCGAGAGAGAGTAAGAAACAGTGAGAGAGAGAGAGTGAACCCAAGATGGTTTTTTTTTAATAACCTAATCTCAGAAACAATACCACTTCTTCTGCCATATTCTATTAGCCACCCAGACCCTGGGAAATGTGGGAGGGGTGTGAACACCAGAAGGTGGGAATTATTAAGGGCCAATTTGGAGACTGGCTACCACACTGAGGACACCAGAGGAGAAAGAAAGAAAGAGCCTGAGTCCTTGAGGAGATTGTTGCGTGAATGCACCAACCCTCAAACCATTTGTCACCTTCCTGCTGTGTCAGATAATTGAATGTCTTTACAGCTTAAGCCACTGTTCATTTGATATTTGCTGCTGAAAACCTCATGTCTAACTCAAGGACTATTAAATATTTCTAGTAAAATGTAGAAATATTATCTTGAGAAGAACAAATAAAATATGCCCTTTGCTTTTAGTAACAACAAAAGGAATACCTCAAGGTATAGTTTGTCAACATAAGTGAAACAATTCTGATTCATGAAAATTCTGAAAAATTTAATCAGAAAATTTTTATTATACCTTTTAGAAATTGTTTGCCAACTATTACTTTTATTAGAAGAAATGGAATATTTTTCTCTTCCTTATTCCTCCTGAAAAATAAAGTGGGGTTCTGCTAATTAATTGAAGAGGCCTCTAATACAGCGCTCACCTTTCGAGGCATGTAATTTGAGTTTTGAGTACTTGATCACCACATAGGTACATCCTCTGTGGGCTGCAAGGGTTTACACCTTTTCTGAAAGGTTGGCAATTTTTAAAAATAAGATTTAAGGAGAGAGGAGGAAACTTCACACAGTTGAGATGGGGACAGAGCTTGCTGGCATCCTGTCCTATTGTCCTTTTATATGACCTTGAGATCACTCATGCGGCCCAAATCATATCTTCTTCTGATTATGAAACAGCCCACACATACAGTAAAGTATTGAAAATAGAACAGCAAACATCCATGGACCTACCAGACAGATTGAACAAATCTTCACATTTCATCACATCTCAGTCAAATATTTGTTTGGTTTTAAAGAAATGAAACATCACAGATAGAGGTGAGACCTCCTTTGAACTCTCACCTCCACTCTCCTCCCCATGAGAAACCATGTCACAGATTGGAGAGAATCTTTCTCTTCCATGTTTTTATATTTTTATTACATGAATATGTTTTATAAACAATATATAGTATGGTTATATAAATATTTTTAAATTTCACATAAGCAAATACATTGATTTATTGTGCAGTTTGCTGTTTTCATTTAGTGTTGTGATTCACTGCTCTCGTCTTTTC